GATGGTGAGTGATCACGACCCATCTGGTTCATGGCATCTTGCACAGCTCTGAATGTGACACTTCAGGCCATCAAGGAAGTGGCCCAGGCTGGGGAGGACCCTGGTAGCCTCTGTCCTCACAGAGTGGCTGCTCTAAGCCTGGAGGTGAAGCCATGGGAAACAGCTGGAGCCTCAGGCCGCAATCCAAAGTCAGCTCTTGGTGGGTGACTTGAGCAGGATTTGGACCCCCACTCCGGGCTCTTACCTGCCAGATAGAACCCTTGGCAACCCCTTCGTCCCTCCCAGAACCAGCCAGAAGCTGACATGTTTCCCTCTGTAAATTTCATGAAAGTATTAGGTGCCCCTCTCCACACCTGTGGAGATCAGTGCAGGTGCCCTGAAGCTAAATGCCTGTCCCCAAGTTGCCTCACCCTTTATCTCAGGAGCTTTGAGCCAAGACCTCAGAAATGCTGCATAGTCCGCAGTCAGCTTGGTATGTTTTGACAACCCCTGCCAGTTAAAATCTGAGACCCATAGGGACAGAGTTGGGGGAAAGCAGCATAAGTTATTGACTAACTTTTTGCACCAGGACAGTCTGCCAATGGATCGGTGTCCTCTGAACAGCTCAGCCAGCAGTAGAGTGGCCCAATGTGCCCTTCTGAGCCTCCACATCAAGGCCAGATAAACAAGTATCAGCCAGAGGCAGGAGGAACTAGGAGGAAGAGTGTCTGATGGAGATAACTCCGAGGGACAGCAGCTGGCCTGCCATGTTGTATACACTGCTGTCCCTCCCATGTGCCCGCAACCAGAACTTCCGGCCCAGAGGTCCATAGAGGAGCCAATGGCCTATCCAAGGGAATGCTCCTGCCCCTCCAGGGATCAGCCTTAAGATTCTTGCGAGGAATTGGGCATTACAAGAATCATCACAGCTCCTATATATTAGCTCTACCACTTCTTTTACTATGAGGAAGGAAAAAACTCACTGGTAGATCTGCAAATGCAAGGCATGCAAATGGCCAAAATAATATCAGCAAATGCCCTGGCTGGTGTGGCTCAGTGGACTGAGCCTGGCCTGAGAACCCAAAGGTCACTGATTCAATTCCAGTCAGGGCACACGCCTGGGTTGAGGGCCAGGTCCCGGGTTGAGGGGGTGCGAGAAGCCCCAACATGATCGGTGGATCAATGTTTCTCTCACACATGAGTGTTTCCCTCCTTCCTCCGCTCTATAAAAAATAAATTAAGTCTTTGAAAAAATAACAGCAATCACTCTTAAGGGTTTACTGAATACCGGTACTGTATGAAGCTCACCGAACTCTAAACAGTTACGTGTTCCCTTCAAAGGTCACCCCCCAGTGAGGTCTTCCCTGACCATCCCAGCCAAAGTGCCATTGATGTCCACATTACCACCTTCACAGAATGGGCCCCGCCCCAAGATGCTCTTATTTCTTCTTCTACTAGTATAACCATGTCTGTTTTCCATGCTTCAGTGAGCTCCGTGTAGGAGGGACAGATTTGGACTTGCTCTCCACTGTCCCCAGCACCTGGCCCTATGTCTGGCGCAGAGTGGCTGCGTTAATTTTTCAGCCACTACTGTGGTAAGAGCAGACCTATGTTATTAAGAACAAGGTCCCACCCTGACCAGCGTGTCTCAGTTGGTTGGGCATTGTTCCACAGGGTGAAAGGTTGTCAGTTGGATTACCAGTCAGGACACATGCCTGGGTTGCAGCCTGGTCCCCAAGGGCACATGGGTTCCCCAGATGGGACGCATGCAAGAGGCAACCAATCAATGTTTCTCTCACACATCAATGTTTCTCTCCTTCTCTTTCTCTCTGTCTTCCCCTCCCTCCAAGGATAAATAAAATCTTAAAAAAAAAAAAAGAAGAAGAAGAATAAAGTTGCTTGGTCTGCCAACACCCAGGAGGGAATCAAATGTTTAGAGGTTAGAGGTCACTGCAAACCACAGAGGCCTGGGCTCAGAAGAGACTAAACTCAAGGCTGGACACAAGGTTAGAATGACAGTCTGAACTCAGCTTTGGGGCTGCTGGGCAAACTTGGCCCAGTGCCTTGGAGATGGATTTCACTGAGTCTTCACAACAAACCTATGAAGTAAGTCCAACAATTATTCCCATTTGAGACAAAGGCTCAGAGAGGGACAGTTACTTGCTTAAGGTCACACAGCTAAGAAGGGACAGTGCCAGAATTTAAAGTTAGTCCAGTGAGTGGGTTTGGGAATCAAAAGACCTGTTTTTGTTGTTGTTTTTTAAGATTTTATTTATTCATTTTTAGAGAGAGGGTAAGGGAGGGAGAAAGAGAGGGAGAGAAACATGAATATATGAGCAAAACATCCATCAGTTCCCAACCAGGAATGCGGCCTGCAACCCAGGCATATGCCCTAACCAGGAATCGAACCAGCAACCTTTCAGTTTGTTGGATGACTCCCAACCCACTGAGCCGGGACGACCTGGTTTTTTTTTAATAAGTCCTGACTCTGTCACTTATGCTGCATGTCCTGGGCCTCATCCTTCTCTATCAAGTTGATGGAATTGGTGAACTGTGTCTGCTGAGGGGCTTCCTGGGAAGGAGCCCCCAGAATCAATTCCTCCAGTGAAGTGAAGCTCACCCTTGGTTAGAACTGCCTGGGTGACGCTATGGCACCATAACCTTTCCACACCTGCTCCAGTCTCGTTTTACTGAAGGCAGGAAACAGGGAAGAGAAGTCAGAGGGCACTCATTCCCCACAGTGTGATTTGAGGCCAGCTGCTTCAGTCTCTGGCTTCGGTTTTCTCTTCTGTAAAATGGTAGTCAAAATATACCCAGCTCAAAGTGCTATTAATATTAAGAAGTCAATAAATATTACCTCTTATTATAATTGTCATCATCCGCTTACAGAACTGTCAGGTTCGATAACACAAAGCACAGTCAGAGCCTGGCACACAGTAAGTGCTCAGTAAATGCTCACTATTTTTTTTGCCTTGTTTTGTTTTGATAAATGTAGAGCCTGTGAAATGCATTCATTCCTCTTCATTCAGCACAGAAGAGGCTCCTATGTGCCCTTAAGCAGGTAATTTCCTGGCCCTGCATTGGAGGCCAGGTTTGAATACCAGCTCTGTTCTTACTTGCTGTGTAGCCCTAGGCAAAAACTTGACCTCTCTGAGCCTCGATTTCCTCATCTGTACAAGGATCATATCTAGTACTTGCACCTATTATGAACCCTACAGGATTAAATGAACCAATCACATAAACTCTGTTTTGAGCCCCCACTAACAGCTAGATACTCTGCTGAGCAAGTCCTTTGTATACAGTGTCTGGTTCACTACAGTATTTACTATTTTCCAAGCAGAACCTCTTTGAGGAGGAGGTTGAGGAAAGACACTGGCCACTTACTGACCGCCTACTGTGTGCCAGAAACTCTTCATCAGCCATCTCCTGAATCAGCCCCATTAGGTTGGCGCTGCGATGACCCATTTTCACAGATGCGGAAACCGAGGTTCGGACACCTACCGCCGCCCTCGAGACGAGGACTGCAATCCCCCTCGTTCAGGGGAAGGCAGAGGCCGAGGGTCGGAATCCGGCCGCCCCACCGGAGGTGAGGCTGGGGCCTCGAACCCGGAGACGACCCACGGACCGACGTCCTCCGGCCCCGCCCGGCCACCCGTGCCCACCTGATTCGCGGCCGGGCCGGGAGGCCGCGCAGGACCCTCTGCTCGCCCCCGCTCAGGTCCCGGCCCGGCCAGTCCGGTCAGCGCCGCTAGCTCAGCTACGGCCGGCACCTGCGTCTGGACACCGCCCGCCAACCCGACAGCGCCACGGGCCAATGGTGACAGACTCTCTACTGCATTGGCCAATAGCCGTGCACATCCCGCCCTTGGAGGCGGGGCCGGAGGCGACAAGACTATTCTGGGCCGCACAGGCCACGCAGCGCCGCAGCTCCTGGCCCCGCCCCTGCCGCGTTCTAGCCCCGCCCTTACCGGCCCCGCCCCAATCCTGGCCCCGCCCCCAACACGACACCAAGCCTGAGTGGGGCTACTAGCGCCACCTGCCGAAGGCCAGTTCTTGTTGAGAAATAAAACCGTTACAGAATTTGACACCGGGCAGATTTGTGTTCATCACCTTCCTTACGCTTCCCATCAATCCTGAGGGAGAAAGACAACGTATGGTCACATTTTACAGAGAGAATGTAGATGCTTAGAGAGGTTAGGAGACCGTGGAAGAGCCGAAAGCCAACATCATTCATTCACTCATGCAATAAATTCATTCACCAGGTGTAATATAAACATCAGTAAGAGCCTATTATGAGCGGGCACTGTGCTAGACGCTGGGAACACAATATTAAGTAAGGGAAATATTGCTGCCCCTACGGACCTCAATCTAGGGAGTGATACAGACATAAAACCACCAATTATGTTATTATTAATTACAATGGCGATAAACTGCGGCAAGTGAGGGAGGGCATATCATGAAATAATTTGGAAAATCCTAAAATGTCTTTGAAAAAGAAGCAATTAAATTGACAAGTAAGGTGTGAGTGGAGGTTAACTAGAAGAGGGGGAATCCTAGGCAAAGAATTCAGGTACATGCAAAAAGCCTCAATATTATTTTCTTGTCCTGCCCCTCCTTTAGTTAGTGCATAGATTTAGCTCAACTGCTTCAGTGCTGCTGTTATACTAGCTTATTTCATTATTTTTAATGGAAATATAAATCATTTTTATATATTTGATTTTACAACCATACAAATGTTTTATATAGTTATAAAACAAAATTTAAAAATATCCCTAAAAACTAAAACTAATGACTTTGTGTATGCAGTTAGCGATAAAAAGAGTTAAACTCCTAGTGACTTTAAAACACAACATTTTGACTGTACATACCACTACTATATTGGTAGAAGTGGCATTAAAACTGTTGTTCTAAGCGTGCTGCATGTGTAATGGGATAAAGCAAAGGAGTAATTATATTGGTGTTAAACACTGGGATTTTCAGAGGGAGTGAAGTGGGTATATATGTAAGATTGATCATGTTAAATAAAACCCCTGTAGTCTTGAATTTGAATTTGGAGTATTATGAAGTATTTTATTTTTATAAAAGCAAACATTTCTTAGTTTTGTCCACTGAAATGGTAAAAAACAAAGATCTCATTGCAATGAGTACTTCCTTAAGCATGTGGTCTTTAAATACCATTTCCAATCCAAAGAACCAGGGATCCTGGCCAGGTAGCTCAGCTGGTTAGAGCATCATCCCGATACGCCAAGGCTGCAGGTTCCATCCCCGGTCAGGGCAAACACAGGAGTCAACCAATGGATGCATGGGTGAGTGGAAAAGAAGTCGATGTTTCTCTTTCCCTTCCTCTCTCTCTCTCTACAATAAATAAGATAAACTTGACACATCATGATGTACCAGAAAGCACAAGAGTTATCAAAGAATCAATGACATTACCCACTAATGTAGTTTCAGTGAGGGCCAATCAGAAGCTTCCACTGGCCACAAATTGGACGATGTGGCCTCCAATAGGGGTAATGACTGCATATCAAAACACATCAAATGTTTAAATCTATGCACTGGGTTTTTAATTTATCTTAAAATAATGTCAAATTTACATAAAAGTGGCAGAAATGATGCACAGAGCTCCTGAAAACCTTCCACCTAATTGTTAACATTTCAGAATCCTTTGAGTATCCAGTACACATGTAGTATCTCATTAATCCTTAATACTTAAGCGTATTTTTCTTAAGTACAAGCACACTCTACCCAATAATCTCAGTAGAATCTTAAAAATCAGGAAATTAATATTGATCCAATATTACCATATAATTCCCAAATATTATTCATAGTTTCAATAAAGTCCTTGAAATCTCCAGAATCCATCCCAGAATCATATTATATCTAAGTCAGTCTCTGTAAACAGTTCCTCAATCTGTCTTTCACAACCTCGATACTTTGGGAGATTACAGGCTAGTTGTGTTGTCAAATCTCTCAACTGGTGTTTGTCTAACATTTCCTCACACTTTATGCATTTGGGAAAGGAACCACAGTAGCGATGGTGTTCAGTGCATACATGTGTCGGGGCAGAGAATGCTGATTCCTCCCATCACTGATTATGCTAACGTGATTAAAATTGTCTACCAGGTTTCTCCAGCATGACTTAGTATGTTGTACTTGTTAATAACTGGTTTATAGGAAATACTTTGAAACTAATTAAGTATCCTCTTCCTCAACAAACCTTTACCCACCAGATTCAATATCCATTGATGAGCCAATTTCTGTTGTTGTTAGCTTCAACAACAATGGTTTTTCATTTTTACTCACTAGAATTCTGGACGAACGCCCTGACTGGGTAGCTCAGTTGGTTAGAACATCCTCCTGATATGCCACGGTTGTGGGTTCAAATCTTGGTCAGGTCATATGCAAAAATCAACCATTGAACGCGTAAGTAAATGGAACAAATCTCTCTCTCCCCCTCTCAAATCAATAAAAATTAAACATTTTAAATTTTAGAAAAATTCTGGAGGAGGATGGCTGCTGGCATTGGTTTGGTCAAATGATGGTAGGGTCGATGATTCTGAGAATCTCTTGGCCTTTCCCTCATGGTAGCAAAACAGCTGCTGTAGCTCTAGCCATCACATCCTCAATCATGGCAGAAAGGGATGTTACCCATCCACATCTTTTATTATATAATGGTTGCTAAATAATTTTTCTAATTCCAACTTTCAGCACTTCCTTACTGGCTCAGCAAGATGTTTTATGGTGGAATTTTCTTTAAAATTTTCCTGCCTCAGCTCTAGAATCAACCATTTCTCCAAGAAGTCCTGGTTCCTTTTAATACAAATGATATTTAAAGCCAAGATCTGAATGCTCAGTGTGCTCATTGCTACCACAGTATCATTAATTCTTGGTTCTCTCATTGTTAATTCATATGTACATTCGTACATATATAATTTACTTCCCTATCATTAAAACCATAATGCACAATACCTCTAGTTCTAATCCAACATCAAGAATTATTCCAGTTCCTTTACCTGTTTCTAACTTCCTTCTCTGAAGTGAGAAACCTGGCTCCCATGATCCCCAGTTTATTTTCTCATGTTTCCACCCTCCAACCCACCCTGTGTGTAACCAAACTCCTAGATACACTGGGCAAGAGTCAGCCCCTGATGTACTGCCCCTACCCAATTCCATTCCCATTGGGCACATTGGCTGAAAGCTTGGCCCCAAGAAAGGGGCAAAGTCCATGCATTTTAAATGAAAATTAGTAATAGTTACCTCTGAAGGCTTTGGAAGCCAACCCATAATCTTGAACATTATGAATTTGAAAATGGACAAGCAAAGAAAGTAATTGTTTATGCTGATCTATACAATCTGTACCCTGGGGTAAACACATAAGATGAGGGGAAAATTTTTTTTTTATTGATATATTCCACAAATAAATAAAGGGGAACAGAATGTGAGTATCACCCTTTTGTAGTCCCTAGCGGATTATGAATCTGGGTGATACTTTGTAGCAGCTGCTAACACAAATGAGAAAAATGTTGACATCTATTTCCTGTGTATGTGCACAACATCACCTATGAGGTGCTCAATCCTAATCTGAGCAACCACTAGATCTATTAATTTACAGGAAATGATGAGGACAAAGGGATGTGTCAAATGGCACCATAGGTCTATAGAGAGAAAAAGTGATTGCCAAGGGCGGGGGGAAAGGAAACGGGAGTTACTCTGCTTAATGGGTACTGGGTTTCTTTTCCAAGTGGTGAAAAGGGTCACGATTAGATAGTGAAGGTTGCACAATATTCTGAGTATACTACCACTGAATGTACATTTTAAAATGGTTAAAATGGTGAACTTTATATCAAATTTTTAAAAAGCAAAAAGAACCCTGACTGCTGTGGCTCAGTGGATTCAGTGCCGGCCTGCAAAGAGAAAGGTCACCAGTTCAATTCCCAGTCAGGGCACATGCCTGGATTGTGGGCCAGGTTCCCAGCTAGGGGCGTGCAAGAGGCAACTAATCAATGTATCTATCACACATAGATGCTTCTCTCACTATCTTTCTCCCTCCCTTCCCCTCTAAAAATAAAATCTTTAAAAAAAAAAAAGCAAAAAGAGGGGTGTGCAACAGATAACCGATTGATTTTTCTCTAGCACATCGATGCTTCTCTCCCTCTTCTCCCTTCCCTCCCCTGTGTAAAAATAAATAAATAAAACCTTTTTTAAAAAAAAGCAAAGACACCATAGGGAAGCCATCACCAAAATTCAGACTGAGAAACTATCATTCAAATGGCCCACTTCTTAAATAAAATGGAAAAAAAAAAAGAGAGAGAGAGAGATCAAAGTAGGAGGATCAGTAGGTTAAAAGACTGAAGAGATACATTAACCACTTGGGCCAGTGGACATGTTTGGATACTGATTCAAACAAATCATAACAAAGGTTTAAACCAATAAGGGAGATGTGAACACTGACTGGATATTTGACAATATTAAGGAATTACTGCTCATTTCCTTAGGGGTAAAATAGTATTGAAGTAATGTTACCAAAAAAAGTCTTTGTATTTTACAGATGCATAGTGAAATATTCCTATTAGGACTATGGATTGCAAATTCTTTCTCCCATGTTGCGTGTTCTTTTTACATGGTCCCCCCTTTACCTTTCTTTTAAAAAGATTTTATTTACTTTTAGATAGAGGGGAAGGGAGAGAGAGAGGGAGAGAAACATCGATGTGTGAGAGATACATCAATCAGTTACCTCTCGCACGCCCCCAACCGGGGAACTAGCCCACAACCCAGGCATGTGCCCTGACAGGGAATCGAACCCGTGACCTTTCAGTTCACAGGCTGGCACTCAATCCACTGCGCCACACCAGCCAGAGCCACTCCCTTTAAATTTTTTAAAAAATTTATTGGGGCAGAACACTCCCACCCTTAGCTTTTTTAAAATCCAACTTACTGGGGTGGCCCTCACATATCGATGTTTCTCTCCCTTTCTCCCTTCCTTCCCACCTCTCTAAAAGTAAATAAAACTTTTTTTAAAAAAATGGTTGAGATGGCAAATTTTGTAATGTGTATTTTACCATAATAACAAAACAAAAAACCCTGAACAGTGCCTGGCACAAAGCCAACATGTGGTGCTTATCAAATCACTGAAATCAGAGAAACTGAAATAGCATCACTGTGCTGTCACACCAAGGGGACGGGGTCACATCGGTCTCATCCCCTGGTATGTGCCCAGGGCCTGGCCAATCTGAGGCTCCAGAGAGATTGGATCTTTGACCACCTGAAACCTTTCCGGGTGCTTCAGCGCTTTACCTAGCTCTCCTGCAGCCCCCATTCACCTTCTGCCCTCTTCACAGCCCACCCCACCAAACCCAGGAGACGTGGGGTCCCAAGTGTAGTTCAGTTCCCTGTCAGGGCACATGCCTGGGTTGTGGGTGCTCCATAGCCTGGAGTGTGAACCCTGGCTCACCCCAACTCCTGTCAGAACAGCCCCTATAACTCAGAGCTCTTTTGGAGGGATATGCGGGCTACCCGTCCCTCCAGGCAGGGAAGCTGGAGCCTGGAATCCCCTTCTGGTAACTCCCCTAGGGGTCAAGGGCACAGAGGGTTTCAGCCAGAGGCTGGAGCTTTTAGAACAGCTGCCAGGCACTCAGGTGAGACGGACCAGACACTGGATCATGTGGTCAGCGCAGGGACAGGGCTGGCCACACCTCCTCCTCCTCCACTTTGGGAACTCACCCTCAGGCCAGTCCTGCCCACCTGGACAAGGGGAGAATCGGAAAAGAGGAAGAACCCCAGGCCGTCCATCTCCCCTGTCACCAGCATCCCATTCAGCTCTCCTCAGGGGTCAGCCTGGGATGGAGAGAGCTGGGCTGGGACTAGAAACACCAACGTCCGGGCAAGCCCCTCTCGCCAGTCCTTGCTGGGATCCCAGGCGGTGGCCAAGTGCGGGGCAGGTGGAAGCAACGAGCAGTCCGACTCCCAGGGCTGGGAGGTAAAAGGAGTGGGCACAGCCCATCCCCTCCAGAGGGCCACCCTCAGGCCCTAGAGCTGGGAGTCCTAGGACCAGGGAGTTTAATGTCAAACCCCTGGCCTTCCCTCCCTCCCTGTCACAGGTGTAGCCTGGAGAGGGTCCACCCCACACTGGGACCCCCATGGTCAGCTCAGGAGGCCTCTGCATGGCCCTGGGCGGGGGCTCAGGCCTGGTCTTCTCGCTCCCTGTCAGGCCGAGCCCGGCAGTGCAGCCCACGGCAGGACGTGTGCAGCAAGGGCCGTGGCTCAGGGGTGACCACCTGGCGGAGAGAAAGAAGACAAAGGCGCGGCGGCAGGTTGCTGTCCAGGAAGTCAGGTTACACATTTTAGTAACGGGCCAGAGAAATGAGGCATTGGGGCAACAGTGCAGGGGCCACAGGGATAATAAGAGATCGGAGAGCTAGGGTTTGGCGTCAATCTTACAAAGTGTATAAAGAATCTGTGTTTCTCTATAATAACAAAAAAACCAGAGGCTACAAGAGCGGTTGTATATACAAAACACTGAGATATTGCTTCACTTGCAAACAGGTTCCTGACCAGACGGGCAGACAAGACAGAGAGAAGGGCATGGGGGGGGTGGGGAGTGCGCCGCGTGCAGAAAGGAAGGGGGCGGGTCTTCTCCCAGCATAAATCTACAGGCAGGAGTTGAGCTGAATTCACGCACACACGGGAGAGGCCAAGGTCAAAGGCGTATGCCGGTGCTGGCTGTGCGTGGGAAGTGGGGTGACAGGAGTCTGTTTCTGCCTGCCCCAGCCTCCCGCCCTGGTCGCTTGCTCTTCAGGCTTCAGCCCAAAGCGGGGTTCTAGGAGGGGACCAGGGCCAGCTAGGACAACTGGCAGGAGAGGGAGGGAGGTGATCACTCCTTGGATCCTGCTGTGGGATGCTGAAGAAGCCTGCTCGGTGCACCCATCTCTTGCCTCCGGCCCTGTCCACCCTATCACCCTTCCCGCCCCGCCCCGCCCAGAGACCCACTGGGGCCCAAGAAAAACAGATGCAGCAGCCGGGCTTCAAGTTTTCCTGGGGGTGGGGGAGGGACAGAGCTGCTGCTTGACTCCCGTTCTCCCGAAGCCCCAGCTGACGTGCGGAGCTCAGTGGGAGTGTGGGGGTCAGTCACAGAGGGACAGAGAGTGTCAGGTCAGGGAAAACGTCACGGCGAGGGGCAGGGGAAGGGCGAGGATGTGCACGCACGCTTGGACGAGGCACGGGGCGGTCACAGGTTCTGGCAGCACTGCAGCTTGCTTGGCTTCTGTCCGTCGGTAGTGGGCGGCACGCTGATGTCCACCACGTTGTTGCCAGGGGACTCGTCATGGGCCGCGCGGTCTGCAATCTGCTTCTGTGACACGATGCGGTAGATCTCTGCAATGGGGGGATGCGAGGTGAGTGCCCTGTGTGCCCCTGCCTGCAGTGACTGTCCCCTGCAGGACTCGCCTGGATGTCATCTCCTCCAGGGAGCAGCCCCAAGACTGTGCCCCTCCCAAAGGCCCCCACTGCAGTTTACTCACACCCCCTGACATAAGGGTTCCCCCAGTGCACTCAGCGAGAGTGGAACCCACATCTGGTCCCAAAGATACCCTCCCAAGCTCAGGGTTGTTATTAAAGATCAGAGAACCCCTCTTCCTCAGAATAAACTCTGCGAAGACCAGGAGCTCTGGGCCCAAGGTTGACTGCCCCCCACCTAGCTGTTCTCTGGTGGAGCCATGACTGGGCGCACCCCAGGATGCTGGGTCCAGGGGCTCTCTGGGTCCCGAGTGCCAGTGTGACGGGATCTGGCCAGACCTCAGAGAGCGTGCATTGTCCATCCTCCTGCCTGGACTGAGTGGCAGGTTTAAGAAATGAAGGTTCAGGGGCTACATTATGGAGCGTGCAACCAGCGTGGCTGGTGCCCTTCCCATGCCACCCTTGGTGGGCCTGCTGGGGTTCCTGCGGCCCCCACCAGGCCTGGGACCACCTGTGAGAATGTTCTTGAAAGCTTCCTCTACGTTGGTGGAGTCCAAGGCTGAGGTCTCGATGAAGGACAAGTTGTTCTTCTCTGGAACAGACAGAATATTGTGCAGGTGAGCGGGGGGTCCTCCCCTGCCCCTTCTAGGAGCCTCTACATGCTGCCCGCTCACCTGGCCGGGGAAATGAAAGGCTGGGGTCCAGCGGGTAGGACTGCAATGCCCACTCCTCGGGGAGGGGATGATGGCACTGTGGCCTTACCCACAGCCAGGGAAAATGAGAAGGACCTAGGGGGCTGCCTGCTTTTCAGAAACTTTTCTGAGGCCTTAGCCACTGCCTTGCTGTCAGGAGCTCGCCCCTGCAGGAGGCCCTGACCCTAAGTGAAACTGCTCCGACCCGTAGGCACTCACCTGCGAAGGCACGGGCCTCGTCAGTGGGTACGGCCCGCAGGTGGCGCAGGTCGCTCTTGTTGCCCACCAGCATGATGACAATGTTGCTGTCAGCGTGGTCCCGCAGCTCCTTCAGCCAGCGCTCCACGTTCTCGTATGTCAGGTGCTTGGCAATGTCATATACCAGCAGCGCACCCACGGCACCGCGGTAGTACCTGTGAGGACAGACAGCAGGGCGCAGCGATGAGCTGCCCACCGGCACCTCCCGGGGGCTCCCAGGGCTCTGTGGGCAGCAGCTCCCAGCTGAGGAGCGGCCACCATGGCCTCGAGGGAGGGCTCTGCAGTCCCAATTCAGCTCAGGACTGTGGGGGCCTGAGGAGGGGGTTTAGGGCCTGAGCTCAGAAGACACCCACCAAAAAGGGAGAAAGAAAGAGCACCTGTGCAGGGAAAGGGTTGCTGCTGGGCAAAAGCTCCGACGTCTGCCGTGGCCCACCTACCAAGGAGACTATGGACACGCAACCACCCTGAAGGACTGGGAGATGGGGAGGTGACCAGGCTTCAGTGGGGGGCACTCAGGGAACAGTGAGTGACTAATGAGGAAACGGCCAGGGGGGTTGGAGAAGTCTGGGAGGAGGCAGTGTGAGTAGATCCTGATGGCTGGGTGGCCACGGGGAGCTGAGGGAAGAGGAAGACGGGCAACACAGCCAGGCAGGGCAGGCCAAGCAGGCAGGGCTAGGGGTGGGCAGAGTGGAATGGCCCTATCCAGGCCCAGATAATAGCCCTCCCTGAGCAGCCAGCACCCAGCAAAACGGCAGTGGCCCACAGGGCCACGGGACATGCCCACATGAGGTCACAGTGGTCAAGGGTGGGCACTGGTCTTCCCAAGGGTCCCAGAGCTCCTGGGGGCCTCATCCCTCCACGCTGGGCCAACATCAGGGCTATGCTTTCCTCTCTCCTCCTGCCCAACTCCTACCCTTCCTTCGGCACCTACTGGCCCTGTGTCCACGGCCTCCTGACCCTCCCCATCCCTGCCACTCACGCGGAGGTGATGGCGCGGTAGCGCTCCTGGCCAGCGGTGTCCCAGATCTGGGCCTTGATGGTCTTGCCATCCACCTGGATGCTGCGGGTGGCAAACTCCACGCCAATGGTGCTCTTGCTCTCTAGGTTGAACTCGTTGCGGGTGAAGCGGGACAGCAGGTTGCTCTTCCCCACACCCGAGTCCCCGATGAGCACCACTGGACAGGCAGGGGGAAACACAGGCGAGGCTCCATGGGTCAGAGCAGGGCGGCCCACCAAACCAAGGCCCACGCGTTGCCCATGGCCACCCGCAGAGCCGTCGCAGAGGTGCCCTGGGCTCTTCGGAAACATAACAGCCACCACGGGGTGGAACCAGAGCTGTCCTAGAGCCCCTCACCTGATGCACCAGATTTCTTGGTACAGAAGCGAACAGTGGCTCCAGGCTTCTGGAAACACAGCCACTGTAAACAGCACTACACCCCTGCCTCCGTCTGGTTCTTCAGAGCAGTCCTGGCCCAGCTAAGGCTCAGGGACCCAGGTACCTCTGCAGGCAGGAGGCTTGGGATCTATCAACCCCAAACTCCCCCTGCAGCCCTGAGGCCCAATTAAGCTCTGTGGCTGGGCGACCGCAGGCATGTCATTTAACCTCTCTAGGCTGCTTTTTCCAAAGGTATGAAAAGAAAGACAGGAATGAGAGCCACTTCAGGAAAGGAAACACAAGAGCTTGCAGGATCAGAATTCAGGCAGCACACCACCTGCTAAGACAGGTGGGGAAGCAATTGTTACTACTGTTCCACCAGGTTCCTACCAACAGAGACCTGGCTCTGGAGTTCTAGGTAACAGGAAATGAGAAGCCTCCTGCCCCATGCCCACCCTGCTACGTCCTCATGGAAGGCAGCTGCAAGCAAACCAACATTCTGCTCAACATAGCCAACTCGCCCATTTACAACAGGAACGTAGCTGAGGGTGTAGCTGAGAGGGAACAGCCCCCAGAGTGGGACTGCTCTGCAGGGACATCCAGGACAAGAGCCCTTCTGAGCAGGACAAAGCCGGGCAGAGCAGCCCCAGTGGGTCTCTCCCATTAGGAGTGGGGCCACTCGAGACAGTCTAGGAAGCTCCTGGGCTCAGGAGGGCTGTCCTCAGTCCCAGGGCACACTGGAGGGGGACTGTGTCTGTGCATGCGCGCACATGCGTGGGTTTATGTGCAGCACAAAAGGAACGACCCACAGCAGTCTGACCAGGCGCCCCAGCGGGAAACCGAAGGATCCCCAAGTGTGAGCCTTGGGTTCTGGCACCTGAGGGTGGATCTGCCCAGTGGAGAACTGTGGGAGCCATAGGCTTGATCACCCTCAGCCCCAGTGAAGTTTCTCCTCGATGAAAAATGTTACGTGTGCCTGTCAGGATTCCCCCCACTTCCTACCACCATCACGGCCCTGACCCTGGCTAGTCCAGGCAGCTTCCTCCTCTTCCTGGGTTGCTGTACCAGCCCCCCTCCCCGGTGTCCCTCAGTCTTCTCTCACCCGCACCCAACAGGCTGTTCTCCCAGCCACAGCCACCAGGCGGTATCTGTGAGCTCCCGAGTCGGTCTTGCCCCTTTTTCCACAGCCCTCCAGGGACCCTGCCTCCCTTGCTGTGAGAGCCCAAGTCCTCTTCAGGACACCAAAGGAGGCCCTGCCAGGACCTGCCCTTGCTCCTTCCCTGCCCTCATCTCCTCTCTCTCCCCTGCTTGCTTACTCCGCTCCTGCCACGCGGGCCTTCTCGCGGGGACTCACAGATGTGCAAGTGCACACTGTCTTTTGCCTGGAATGTTCTTCTCCAGGTACTGGCCTGGTTCCCACACTCCTCTCCTCTAGGTGATGCCTCGGATGGCACCTGATCAAGGAGGAGGCCCCCCCAGCACTCCTCGTAAAACCTCGCTCCCCCCCCCCCACCGACACTCCCCACTCCCCTCCCCTGCCTTTCCTCCATAGCTCTCACCACCCTCCAACACTCGCCTGGTTTCACTAATTTGTTTTTTTTGCCAGCCTTCCTCAAGGGCAGGATCTCAGACAGTATCGTTTCCCTGCTGTCTCCCCAGGACCTGGCACAGGGCCCCTCACACAGGACAGAGTGAACAAAAAAAAAAACAATAAAGTGGCTGCAGAGCCTCCAACTCACCATCCTCAGGCAATAGGGAAGAAGGGGGCCGATAACCCAGCCTTTAGGACCTAACGTCCTCTCTGCGTTGGCTGCTTCAGAGCCAAGAATAATAAGAACCAGAAGACAATTTAGCCCTGGCTCAGTTGGTTAGACTGTCCTCCTGATACACCAAGGCTTCAGGTTCAGTCTCTGGTCAGGGCGTGTACAAGACTCAACCAATGAATAAAATAAAAATCAATAAATAAAATTTAGCCCTAGCCGGTGCAGCTCAGTGGACTGAGTGCCGGCCTGCGAACCAAAGGGTCGCCAGTTCAGTTCCCAGTCAGGGCACATGCCCGGGTTGTGGGCCAGGTCCCCCAGTGGGGAACACGTGACAGCAACCGCACATTGATGTTTCTCTCCCTCTCCCTTCCCTTACATCTAAAAATAAATAAATAAAATCTTTTTAAGTTTAAACATAAAATAATTTTAAATTTGATTTTAGAGAAAGAAGGAAGAGAGAAATTTCAATTTGTTGTTTCACTTATTTATGTATTCACTGGTTGACTCTTTTTTTGTAATTTAATTTAATGTTTTTACATTATTTTTTAATTTTTTTTTCCCATTACCATTTATCCCCTCTATGCCCTCTTCCACCTCCACCCACCTCACTCCCACCCTCACTGGTTAATTCTTGTATCTGCCTGACTGGGGATTGAACCCTCAATTTGGCTGATGGGGACAACACTACAAGCAAGCTACACAGCCAGGGCAAAAAGAGAAAACCTAATGAATCTGTGCTGAGAAAGCCTCACAGAAGCCTCCTGTAACCCATGTTACCAATGAGGAAACAGGCGCGGACAGGAGAATGACGGCCCACGGTACACGATGAGCCGAACAAAAGGACACAGGGCAAAGGTCTGAGCAGGCCCACGCCCACTTCCCAACCATGCTCACCTGGACCACCCACTGGAAAGTGATCTGGCAGGATTTGAACCCAGGTTTTCTGTGTCTAGGGTTGAGCGCAGGGATCTGATTCAGCCTCCTCCTCTCGCACCACCTGGGGCATCCTGATCCAGTGGAGGAGCCAGCAAACTCCTGCTCGTCACTCAAAACGCCTCGTCAGGCGTCTTCCTGTCCACCCCCACCTCCCCCGCCAAACCACTACATGGCCTGGCCCACAAGACCTGGGATGACAGAGCCAGTGTCCTGTCCTGACACCGTGGGTACCCAACACGAGACTGCCACGTTGGCTTCAGAGAAAGGTTGAAAGCAGGTGGAGATAGACATGGGCCTGCAGCCCAGGGCCGAGGGCTCCCAGCCACGCTGGTGGGGTCCCGAATGGGCTCCGAGGCCGTGCAGGCCAGGCTGGGCTGACTTTTGATTTCTGTCCAAAACCCCAACCCTCACCTCCTTCCCATGGCAACCAAAGGAACCTGGCCAAGGCAGGGCAGGTTTGCTCACTGTGCTCACATCATCAGGGATGGAAGGAAAAATGAAGAGTCATCCCTTTTGAGCCCGGCGCAGAGTCCCCCCCGCCCCGCCCCACTCCCTAGCCAACCTTCTCCCCATGTTAGGGTTCTCTTAGCCCAATCAATTCTGCCCTGGCCCAGCCTGAAAGGCTTTATTATCAAGTTCTTGGGGCCACCCCAGAGGCAAATGTCATTATCATTCCTCTTGTACAGTTGGGGACACTCAACACAGTGACCAAGTGGCAGTCCAAGGGCCGCCAGCCACTGCCCAGATAAACGGCGGAGAAGCCAGAATGCCCAGGCACTCCCTGGCACATGTGCCCAATGCAGAGACGGCCAGCAGGGCAGTGACCGGGCTGGCTCGGGGTACAATGTGGGAATGAGAATGGCACTGTCAAAGGCACAAGCAAGCTATTGTTTTGGGGAAATAAAGGGCCCTTGAGGACATGACCCCCAGCATTTCCACAGAAGCTGATGGCAATGCTGGCCAGGAAATGGCCTCTCTAGACACGCCACTTGGCTGGCAGGGCAGGTAAGCCTAGGTGGCAAAGACAAAGAGCTGGTACCTCTTGAAGGCATGGGTCCCCTGGCCTGCCCCGTGACAGTGTGGCACCCATCACAGGTGGGTGGTGGGCACTACACTGGGCGCACATTCACATGTTCAGGCAGACTGAGTGGCCATTCAGGTAGGGGGGATACGCTCCCCTACTTCAGGCAGAGCCGGGCCCCCCCTCTCCTCCAGGAAGCAGACTCGGATCATCTCAGGCTCCAGGGACTGGCACCTGGGGGCAATCTCGTTAGAGTTATTCCCTGGGAAATCAGGGTGCAGAGACGAGGTGTCCAAAGCTGGAGTACAGGCAGGGCCACCATTCGCAATGGGAAAGGACGCTGTGCTCGGATGCCGGACCCGTGCGCCTGGCGGGGTCCTGCCCAGGCTGCACGGCCGGGAGGCTGCCTCCGGAGCACTTGGCAGACAGAGGCGAGCACTCGGGCTGGCTGCCACTCTCTCCTCGCCCTCTTTCCCAGAAGGACTCATAGATGGGGTGGGGTAGTCACAGCCCAGCAGAGAGGGCCCTGGGCCACTGTGGAAGCTTCCCATGCAAACCACAACCTTATGGACCAGGTGAATAGCCAGGGGCTCTGGAAAGACTTTGGTGGACCGTAGGGATGCCACCACTCCCACTGTAGACCCCACAGCCTGGCCTATCAGAGGAGAGGCCAGGCAGCCCCCAGGGATGGATCGGCATGCTGGGCAAACGGCCCACAGCTGACAGGATAAAATGTTAGCAGGATAAATGTGAGAATCTATAATTGGGTACAAATAAACAACCTCACTTCTGGGGAAGGGTGAATGTGCAGAGAAGAAAATAAATACCACGTGGGAAAAACACCCAGGAGGATCTGTTGGCCTTGGTGGTAGAGGTCAGGGGAGCCAACTTGTGATATGGCTGCCAAAACAAACAGGACTGGAAAGAGGGCTGGACAGGCGGCAGCCAACATCCCAAAGTGCTCTCATTTTGTGTGGCCCCTCCATGCCCAGGACAGGGCCAGGGGAAGATGACCAAAGCCTGGGGGAGGTTGGGTACACAGTCGGGCGTGAGGAGATGGCTGCCCCTTTTCCTGATAAAACAGTGTCCTGCACCAGGAGGCAGGGCTAGGAAGAAAGCTGACCCTGGTCAGCCCTTCTGGGGCAGTAGTGTCTTGGACTCCTCTCTCATGCCCATGCCTAACTCTCTGCAGGCCACGGAGTCTCAGGAGGGACTGAGGAGGGTGCTGGTGCAGCATATTTATCTTTCTGTCTACCAGCCCCATTTCTGGTAACTTACGTGGGGGTTGTGGCCTCCTTCTTTATTTACCAGAGCCAAATAGAGTTTCCTTTTCCCATTTAAGGGAATGAAAACCTGAGTGAATTTAAAAATAAACATTAAAGGATAACAGGGAAGAAGGTCCTCCGACAAGGTGTAAGTGTAAAGGAGAGGTCTCAGGTAACCACAGTTTGGGGAACCCTGACCTTGTGGGTTAGATTTTCACTTCCAACCCAGCCTGAGAAGGCCATCGGAGCACCTGCCGGACTCAGAAAAGGAGGCCAGTGGAGGAGGGCAGCAGGGCAGGCGGGCAACCCTCTCCCCCATGCCAGCTGCTGCAGAAGCCAGATCGGTGCGTTTCCAGGAAGTGGACTAGAGTGCACAGCCGTTCCACTGCCCCTGACCCAGTAACCATGCTTCTGGGAAGATACTTCAAAGAAATAGCCCAAAGGGCAAAAGATGACTCGTGCAAACACTGGGACCTGCTGGGACCTGCGTTACTTTTAGCAGCACATATTTGAAAATAACAAGCAAATGATCACAGAAACCTGGAGGGGGTGATTGGGGGAACGCCCCCTGCTCCTGCACTGCCACATCCAGCCGGGTGCCCAGCCCTGATCCAGGAGCAGCTGCCTAAAGGCATGCTGAGCAGAGACAAGCACCAGTTCTAGCAGAACTGGAGTCCAGACCACCTGTCACCAGTCCCCAAAGGCCTGAGAGAGCTTCCCCCGCCTCTAAGGTGAGACCAACCACAAGGCTTAGTCAGCACCAGGGCCATGGCCTCATGCCTGCTGACCAAACAGCTTCACTTGCCAGTAACACATCAGCCTGCAGGCAGCTCCCAGAGCCCATGGTGCTGTGAGGATGGACTCTGGGCCTCTATCTGGGTACTCTCTCTGCCCAGTAGCCTTTCACCACATGGAAAACCCAGGTACGGAGTGCTCCACCCGCTCTCCACATCCCCAGAGTCCCCAGGCCCCAGGCCCAAGATGCTGGATGGTCATCCAAGGCTACCTCCAGACACAGACTACACTCCCAGGGATGGCCAGACTCCCCCCAACAAGGGGAAGATTCCAAAAGCTGGCATGGGAGGCAGACTCTCACACAGCAGGCAGCAGAGCAAACGCGCCCCGCGTGGGCCCAGGAGTTAGGTCTCAAGGGCAGCCACTATTAGCCAGGGATCCCAGCACGGACAGCAGAGAACCTGGCCAGAGTCCAGCTTGGCACACAGAAGGTGCTGTGAAGCCTGTGGCCCCTAAACAAGCTAAGCTGAGAGACAAAGGACTCTAGTGACATGTGGCGAGTCTCCCCAGCTTGGGCCTACGTGAAGGAGCTCCCCAACTGGCTCCAGACCAGCCATGGCTGGCTGACCTGCCTAGGCCACACTTGAGGCTCATAAAGCCCTCTGTCCCCCTGGCTGGGAAAATTGGCCCAGACCTGAGCCATCAGAGCTCATGTGTTGAAGGAGGCAGTCTGACATCTCAATCCCAGATCCTGGCTACAAATTCCTCCAGACACAATCCCTAAGTGGTAAAGCCCACAGCTGACCTGGGTTCAAAATCCTGCTCTAACACTTATCACTCTGCCCTGGTTTCCCTCTACCCCAGTTTCCAGGGCCATAAAAGGAGAGGCTGAATATCGACCTCACAGGGCTGTGGTGACGATTTCAATGAATTCACGTGTGTAATGAGCTTGGAAAAGTGCAAATACTTGGGCAGTGTTCTTAAGAGTTCTAAGTGTGTGCTCGCTTTGGCAGTACCTATACTAAAATTGGAACGACAATAAGATTAGCAAGACCCCTGTGCAAATTCGTGAAGCGTTCCATATTTTTATGGTACCAGATAAAATTATAGACGAGACTGAAGCTTGTGTCTCATCCATTATCATGTGTAATCAATAAACGATTTACCAGTAATATCTTCTTGAAATAAAGAGAATTCTAAGAGTTAAGAGCGGTAACTGTTGCTATTACCCACCAGGCCTAGGTCCAACACACACACCTCCCCCACCCCTCCCGCCCCCACCCCCGCCCCCGCCTCCCTAACCCACCCACCCCAGGCGCCCCTCCAAGAAATCCGGTGTCGTCCAACACACACCTCAACCCACATTGTTCACCCCTCCTTTCCCGGGCCCCGCCCCCAAACGTGTTACCTCCGACCAAACATGGCCACGCCCACCCCGTGAGGAACACCGCCCCCACCCGCCCAGGCCTCTTCTTGGACACGCCCGCCGCGCCCTAGCCACGCCCCCAAAGGACCATCCTCGCTTCCGAACGACAGTCCCCATCCCCAAGGGAGCTTTCCAACCGGCCAGGCAAAAGCTGGGGCGGTCCCGCCCCCTCCGGAGGCCCCGCCCCAACGGCCTCTTCTGCCACTCCGGGCCCCACCCCCTCTAGATTCCGGCCCTGCCTGGGCGCATCCAGGGAACCTCAGGTCCCTCTGGCCCGCCAGGTCCGCACGGTCGCACACTCAGGCCCAAAGCTGACAGAAACCAGCCTGCCTAGGCCTTCTTGACTGCCTGCCCAGTAGGGCCGCTAGCCCCGGGCTCCGGCCTGGGCCCAGGGGCCTGGACGCAACTTCGGCCCGCCTGTCCGCCGTCTCGCCGTTATCTCCTCGCCCATTTGTGCCCCACTGGCCGTACCTTTGAATAGGTAGTCGTATTCGTCGTCCCGGGTCCCCATTGTCCTGGCGCTTCCGGCGGGATCCGCGACTCCGCAGCCCCACCACAAACACCCGACGGGGGCGGGGCCGGCGCCGCGCAGAGCGGCGGCCGGATAGCCAATCAGCGCCGAGTAGCGTAGAGACTGACACCCAGAGCAGCCAGTAAGAGACGGAAGAAGACCCCCTGGGGTGGGCGCCGTCTGGAATCCACCTTCCTCGCCCTCGGACTCCTAGAGAAAGGCGGAAGGAATGCGGACCTCTCTGAAGTGACGGCCACGTTAGCCTATCAGAGATCAGCGCAGGAAGGCGGGGCGGAAGACTGGAAGAATTAGACGGATTGACGGAGCGAGTAGCCAATGAGAGGCTACATTCAGACCTTGCCTGACTAACAGAGGATCTGTCCGGGAAGGAAAATGGAGCTACGTCCAGGTGATGTTACGCTATGTAACGTCCCGATGACGTCATAGGTCAATGCGTGCCTGTTGGGCTCACCTGTTCTGTCCCAATTAATGACTGTTTTCCCGGACCTTTGCGCGAGGCCTTTTACACCTAGAGGTCCCTTTTCCCTTGATTGCAGTTTTCATTCTTACATTGGCGACTCATCACATTAACCCTCTGCCTCAGTTTCCTTCTCTGTATAACAGAAAAGAAACCCACCTCATAGAAACGTTTGGAGGTATCTAGATCATTTCCCTAAACACGTACTAAATCAACTGTCTACTTCCTGTCATTAAGTCTTTAACAAATACTTATAAATTCTTTCTGGGCGACAGACTCCAACACAATCTCTCCTCTCTTTCCCTTGCCCTGTTTTATTCCACATCCCCCAACCCCCGACTCCAGGATTTATCACGACCTAACTTTAAAGTATGTATTTCTTTCGTGATCCGTTAATCTGTTTAGTTTCTGTCCCAAGTCAACAGAATTATCAGTCCCATGAAGGCAGAGACTGAGTCTGTGGCAATCACTGTTGCATTCCCAGTGCTAGATAAATATTGATATGTGATGGATAGTGTAAACACAGAGCTCATGTGCTAGTATAGCTATAATTATTTTTATATAACTATAATAATTATTATTGCTTCCTGGGTCTCATCCCTGCGATGTTCATCAGGCATCTTAGACACTGTTTTGACACTTTCCCCCTCTTCCTGCATCTTCCTTCCTCCCACCCCCACCTCATCATCAAAGGCATAGGTCATGTACTCTTCTCTCCTTCTCATCCTTTACCCCCCCTGCCCCAGCCTCCCTTCCACTCACTTGCCGTTTTATGTCCTTCCCTCCTCCTAAATGCTGACCACTTTTCCACTTCTCCACTGCCAGCACCCTGACTCCTGCCCCATCATCACTCCCTGGACCTCCCTGATCTCCCTGTTCTGCCCACACATGCACATGCGGTTCTTCCCAAAGCAGTCAGAGGGAGTCTTTTAAAACATGAATCAGATCTTCTCACTCCTCTGTTTAAAAATATTTTAGTCCTTCTGTTAACAAGCACCTACTAAGTGCCATGCAGCGCTGTAGCTGCTGGCGGGTGCGCCACTGAATAAGCCAAAGTCCCAGTCCTCATGAAGCTGACAGTTTAGTGGGGGCCGACAGACAAGAAGCAAGTAAACAACATGCACAAGGTAGTTTTAGAAAGGGAGGCATACAATGAGGGGAATAGCCTGAGTTTTGAGAGGGTGGAGCTCCTTAGCTAGGGAGGCAGAGAAGGCATTATGAGGAAGGTGGCATTTGCACTGGGTCCTCAGGTCGCAGAGGAGATGGTGGGAACGATGTTTCAGGCAGATGCAACAGCAAGTGAGAGAGAGCCTGGTGAGTCTGAACAGCCAGGAGGCCATGGTGGCTGGCAAGTGGGTTCCAGGGGCCAGAGATGAGATTAGGTGGAAAGGTGAGGCTGGAGGCCAGACCAGCGTGGACTCTCCTGGCTTTGTCAGCTAGCTCCTGGGTGGCTGGCTTGAAACCCTGCACATCCAGGCCAAACCCATGTATCTCCTACCCTCCCCCAGTTCACCACCAGCTTCCCGCTCGATGCTGCAGCCAGGTGGGGCTGCACACTTCCCACCCAGGCCACTAGGCCTTGGCTGTCACTGTGCCTTCTCGCTGGAGTGCCATCCCCCACCATCTCTGTACAATTTTTATCCCTTAAAAGATGATTCAAAAGCCATGTTCACCTCATGAAGGCTTTTCTCCTGTCCGGTTCATGCTCCCCTTCCTACCCCACCCAGCATGACTCAGTAATAATAGTATTAGTAAGGAAGGCTAATATTCATATTGGGTCCTCACTGTGAGCCAGACGCTCAATTTTCCCAGTGCTTTTCATGTAATGCTACATGGAATCCTGAAATCCTCACAGCATCAGGAGAAGAGCAAGGGGTGGGAGGGGTGGGAGAGGTGAGAGGGTATGGCACCAGAACCATCCCATTTTCCAGATGTTGGAACTGAGGCTACAAGGCTTTAGGGCGTGTCCCCAGTCACCCGGGAAATGGATGTGGTTAAGCACTCCAGCTCTGGAATTGAACAGATCTGGACTGACATCCTGGCCCTTGTTTGCATCCCAACCATGGTGATTATTCTTTGTGTTTTTCCTGGGGGCAAAGGGCCAGAAAATGCTGTGTTGGAGGAGGTCGTGATTGCAGAAGAAGGGATGGGGTTGGGGAAGTGAGCCCTCTTGGAAGAGCTTGGGAATTAAGAGGACGGAGCTGGGCAGACCCTCCCTCCACCTCCACAGGTGGGACTTCCTACTAGTTCCAGCCACAGTGGTCTCAAGGGAGACCCTCCAGGCCTGCCTGGTACAGCGCACCCCCAAACAAGGAGCCCGGAGAAGGGTCTGGCCTCCAGAGCTGAGGACCTCATGGCCCATACTCAACCAGGGCCCCAGGGAAGCTGCTGTGTCCCCCAGCATGTTCCAGGAAGAGGCAGCTGGGACTCAGGGCACAGGCAGAAGGTGTTTTTCTCAAGTAGGTGTCCTGGAGACAAGAGATCACATTATTTTAGGCCATGTGACCTGTGTGATAATTTTAGACATTGCATTAAATAACATTGAACCACATACTGAAAGTCCTACCTTTTTTCAATTCTTAAAACCCTTTTAACCTATCAAGGAGAGAGCTTACTCTCTCTGGCTCATCTCTCTTGAACAATTTTCTAACCATCATTTCTTTGTCTTTTTTAAAAAATACTCACCCAAGGACATGCTTATTGATTTTAGAGAGAGGGGAAGACGGAGAGAGAGAAAGAGGAGAGAGGAACATGGATGTGAGAGAGAAGTATCGATTGGTTGCCTCCTTTACGTGCCCCAACTAGGGACTGAACCCGCAACCTAGGTATGTGCTCTGACCAGGAATCAAACTTGCAACCTTTTGGTGTATGGCACACCGCTTCAAACAACTGAGCAACACGGCGAGGACTCAGCTCTCTTATTTTAAAGAGAGCTGGGATGCAAACTGAGTTTTCAGAAGGCAACAGGATTTGGCTAGGATTTTCTTCACACTTTACTGTGAAATTTTTTTAAATTTAAAAAATGGAAAGAATTGTGCAGAGAATATCTCTGTACTCATATCCCCCACCACCTGAATTCCACTATTAATACAGCATTTTGTTTTTATCACATATCCATCTCTCTATCCACCCACCCATTATCTTATTTTTTGATGTATCGCAAAGAAAGTTGAAGATTTGGGGGAATCTAGTGTATAGTGTGGTGATTATAGTTATCAATAGCATACCACATACTTGAACGTTGCTAAGAGAGTAGATCTTAAATGTTCTCACCACAGAAAAGAAACGGTAGTTATGGGATGTGATGGGGAGTTAGGTAATGCTGCGTTGGCAATATAAAAGTATCAAATCAACACATTGTACTACTTAACAGTTATACAATGTTATACATCAATCATATTTCAGTACAGCTGGAAAAAATTAAAACAGAAAATGAAGACTTTAGTTTTCTTTACCCCTAAATACGTCAGCCTGAATAGCATTAACTACACTTGAATATTTGTTTATGGCTCTTTTAGTAGTTTCTTTTGAGGAAAAGGACACATACCACTAAATGCGTAAGTCTTGAGCATGCATTCGCTGAAACAAAGGCACGCACTGCAGTAGCCCCCCCCCCCCCTCAAGGCTCAGGACGCCGCCCTCACGCCCTTTCCCGGCGGGCCTCATTCCACCCTTACAAGGGCGACCACTCTGTGTGTTTGTGTGGGTGTTTTCCATCACACATCAGTTTTCTAGCTAGAACTTTAAAGCACAGGCATTGTTTAATCTTCACTGATTTATGGCAGGTGAATCTGGTTTTTCCGCATGTGGTGGAGATATGTGTCTACATTTTTAAAAACTGAGTCAGTCCCAATACGCCTGAGAATCTGGCTTAATTATTAACATCACAACCCATTTTCACTCTTAAAAAGCAGCTCAGCGTGGCCTGTCAACATAGGTTGCCCCCGCCCCCCCATCATGGGAAGGCTCCGTGCCAGGGGGACTCTTCTTTTCACTCCTGTATCACAGGGCTTAGCATGTAGCCGCTGTTTGATAAATATTCGTTGAACATATATTCATATTTTTAAAAGCCAATTTAAAGGAAACAAGCAGATGTGGCATAGAATGTGAATTTTCCCCAAACACTGCATTAATGTGCACGTTATAGGGTGGCCCTTGGCCTCTGTGACTGTTGAGTCCTTGACATTTGGTTGATCCCAACTTAGAGGTGTCGTAAGTATAAAATACACACTGGATGCCAAAGATTCAGTAAAGAAAAAGTCAAATAGCTCATCAGTGACTTCTATGTTGTCCTGACCCTTACGTAGCTCAGTGGATTGGGCATTGCCCTGTACCCTGAAGGGTTGCAGGTTTCATCCCCCGTTGGGGTGCCTGTGGGAGGCAACGGATAGATGCTGGTCTCTCACATCGGTGTTTTTTCCCTCCCTTCCCCTCTCTCTAAAAAAATAATAACTTTTATGTTGATCACATGTTGAAATGGTAATACTTTTGATATATTGGACTTAATAAAATATTTTTTAAAAATTCACTTTACCTGTTTGTTTTTCTTGGTACTTTTTTGTTTCCTTTAAAAATATTTTGTTTTCTCTCTCTTTCTACTTTTTAAAAAATGAGACTGCTAGGAAAAATGAACTTAAACACGCAACTCACATACGTTTATCAGGTGGTGGGACACCGGCAGGTTGCTGGGGACTCCTGTGCATGAGTGCAGTCCGGAGGGCACTCCAATTTTCTCTCTTCCCTGCTTCCAAGAGCAATGAATGAGGGCTTTGTTTTATAATTTTGAAAATAAGAATGATGTACACATCATGAAATAGTATGTGAAGGAAACTGAAATCAGTTGTCAGAGGTGGTAGGAACGATCGGCATTGTTGACAGACCAGGGAGTGTTCACCTCCACCCTGAGAACATGTTTATGTGGATTTTGAAACTGTCCATTTTTAAAACAAACCTAAGGACAAAGAACAAAATGTTCTGAGGTTGCTTTTATTCCAAGAATTCGGCGAGCCCCGCCCAGACGCCGCTGGCACGGGCTCGTCCCCCAGCACCTGCACACCGCAGCACGGTGAGGGCGCCCTGGTCCCCTGGCCAGTCAACATGACTGAATCCGCATTTCAGGGCTGTTCTGGTTGCCCCTAAGTGGTCCTTCTGCGTCCGCTACTCCTCGGGTAGGCAAGCAGCAGGCCTCTGTACCCATTGGTCCCACGCTTCCGTGGCCTGCGCCCTGCAGCCCTCCACTTCCGCCTTCCTCAGAGGGTATCGCCCGCGGCCCCGCACTGGGAAAGGGGGCCTCTCCGGGTGTAGGCTTCTCCTCTGTCCACAAGGCTCCAGATGGCCCCGCCCAGAGCCCCTGCCCAGGCAGGGCATGGCCACACGCTGGACCAGCGTCAGAGTCACTGTCCTCTCGGAGCCTGGGACCAGGCCCCAGCAAGGAGGCTAGGAGGCTGCTTCCGCCACTGTGGGCTGGATCAGCATGGTGGTGGCCTGCAGCGGGTAGTAGCGGCCCCGCCACGTCTTCCAGAAGATGCCCTTCTTACGCTGCTGCCGCTGCCGAGGGATGGAGCGGAAGTACTGGCCGTTAAGGTTGGAGTGGCTGCAGGACCCAAACCACCAGCCACCTGCGGGGGTCAGAAAAAAGGGAGCACGTTTAGGCGGGGTCCTCGGGCCTCCCCTGGGGCCGGGATGGAGCTGAGGCTAGGCGCTGGACTTCATATGCTTTAGATGGGAAGACCCTGGCAGTGGTTGTGAAACTGTGTTCCGAAGAGCCCCAGGTTGTGAGGCAGAAGCCTCGGGGACTCTGGGCTCCCCAACTCAATAACCACAGCTTTCACTTCTGTGACAGTGGCAAGTCATTTCTCTGTGCCTGACACATGGCGAACATTCATTAAAGATTTTCTGTGATTGTTATCTGTCTCATCAATTTATAGTAGATTGAACTGAATGAAATTAACCATTATTCCATCATTTTTTGACCCACCAAAAGGCAGTTTGGTATGTTTCGCTTCACAGGGCCTGGGCTTTGCCTTAGTTTTCATTAGAACACGACAGAGTTTGTCTTCGTGACTTTGCCACACACCAGCCACCCTCCCACAGGTGTCATTGAATTTTCACAATAATCATATGGAGTGGGCACTGTGGTTACACCGATTTTCAAGATGGGGCAACTGAAGGTGGGAGAGGTTAGGTGAGCCACCCAAGGGCACACAGCAAGTAAGGGAAAGAGGGAACTGGACGGAACTGGGGTGGAAGGCAGGGCAGAGACGCAGCAAGGCAGGAGGGGAGGCTCCACAGGCAAGAGAAGGAGGGACAGAGCTTACTTACCAGAGAGGCTCTTGGCGCAGTTCTTGTCCCTGCGGAGGTCATGGTCCTGGTCCCAAGTAGAGAAGGGCAGGGAGAGCCCACTGGGTGTCACAGTGGTGGCACCCAGCTTGTTGGCCACGGGTGCTGTTAGCTGCAGGCTGTAGGCAGTGTCCTCGCCACCAAGGCGGACAGGGAACTGCAGTGACTCGGCATTGCCCTCCCAGTCCTGTAGCTGCACAGCCAAGTGGCTGTCACGGTCCCCCAAGATCAGGTGCACCTTCTCCAGTCCCAGCCAGAACTCTCCTACGGTGAGAAAAGCCATCGGTGAGGTGGGGACCCACCTCCACAGCCCCCTCCACCTCCTGTGCTTGCAGCCACTGGAAACACCCACCTTGGGGATCTCCGAAGCCATCCTTGTAGGCTTCCCAGGGCTGATTGAAGTCCACGGAGCCATCCTGGCGCCTCTGAATTATGGTCCATCCTCCATCTGCCCAGACAGGTACAAGGTCACCAGGAGGACCCTTCTCACAGGGGCCTCCAACTCCTCGATCTGGCTCCCAAACCCCAAGCCATCTCCAAACCCACGGAGGGGCAATGCTTCCCTCGCCCATCCCAGCAGCACCGGAGGAAGGCTGTCAAGGAAGGGGTGCTGTGCGCTGGCCAGTAAGCCAGAGGCTCAGCCTACATCTCTGTCTGACCCCAGATCTCTGTCTCATGCAGCCTAGGACCCAACCGGGAAGGAGGGAGTGGGAGCGAGGGAGGAGGGCTGCATGTGACAGAAAGGGAACAGCGCGGGTCGGCCAGCACATCCTACCTGGGGTCATCTTGCAGTTAACCAGGAAAGGCAGGGACCCCTGAGGCTGGATCTGGAAGAGTCCACTTTGCCGTTCTCCCTCTTCAAACAGCTCTTGGCAGTCCCTGGGCAGCCCTACAGGGTAAACAGAAGGGAGGGGAGACTGAAGCAGAGAGCATTCCTGGGGGGGCCCAGGCAGCGCGTGCATCCAGAGTCTTGGCAGTGGGCAACGGGGGTGTCCAGGAGGCAATTCATGACGCCTCCCGGACACTTACCTAAAGTCTTCCATGGCTCCCTCTGACCTCCCTCAACACCGCCCACGAGGTGCTCCAGAACAGGCCCCTGCACCCATCCGCTCTCCTCCTCCACTGCATGTCCCCGCCGGCCACACCGCCTTCCTTGTCCCCCACACCCTGCTGCCACGGGGTCTTTGGACATGCTGGTCCCTCTGCCTAGGACACTCTTCCCTCATGCCTTTTTCTGCTTCATTCTAAAGGTCCCAGGTTATGGAAGGAACCCCTGACCCCCAGGCCAGGCCAGACCCCTGAAAGGGCAATCGAGCACTTCCCGCTCCCAACACTGGGGCCATCTGGTAATCTCGCCCCCACTCCCTCCACTGAATGAGGTCTCTGTGAGGCCAGGGACAGCGAGTGTTCTTGGCCCGGGCTGATCCTCGTCCACAGCAGGTGTTTAATAAAGACACAATGAATGAATGATTGCAGGAGCTGGATTGGGGGAGGGGGAGGGAGAGAGGAGGCAAGAGCTGGACAGGCTCTCCTTTGTCTAGTGGGGGATTTGGATCAGGCCTGGATGGGACTTGAGAGAACAGAGGTCCTGCCTGGCGTCCCAGGTATCAGAGGGGGAGTCGAATGATTGAGGAGTAAAGGAGAGAGGGAGAGAGAAAAGGAGGAGGGAGGGAGAAGGTGAAGAAGGAGGGATGGCTACAGCTAGTGGGAAGTCCCACCCCCAGCCCAGCAAAGAAAGTAGGGAAAAGGTCGCCTGTTGGGGGTTGGAGGGGAGGTCCAGGACAAGGGGTGAGTGTGTCCTAACCACTGCAGGGGTGGGGGCCAGCCCAAAGAGGCTGGAGACACTTTCCGGCCCCTGGGGCGGCTCCCCTTTCCCCTACTTTCCTCTTCCAATCAGGACAGGCACCGAGCCAAGCCACAAATGTGGCTTCCATTAGCACCAGCTGTTTCTCTCTCCAGCTTGAACTTTCCCCTAGTTGGCAGGACTGAGCTGGAGTCTGGTCTGGGAGTCCCCAAACCCTTGAGTTTCCTTCTCCAATCCCCTCCACATCCCTTAGCCTGGATCTATACCTGCTGGCCCATCCCAGAAGCCCTCTTCTCAGGACAGCAGTTTGGGAGGGTGTCCTGGACCTTTCCTGGTAGGAATGGCAGGGGAAGGGTGGGGTGGGGGAGCCCTCAAAACTAGAGGGCTGGAAGCCAGCAATCTGCCCAAGGGTGAGAAGGGTGGGGAGCCTGAACTTTCACCCAGTTGGCTGCAGACAGCCACACTTGCCAGGCCAGGTGACAGAGCAGGAAGACCAGGAGGAAGTCAGCTGGGTCTGGGGCCATGAACTTAGGATGGGGCAGAGACATGGGAAGCTGGGAGCCATACACAGACATGTGGTTGAAAATTTCGGGCAGTTTCAGGCATATACCCAAAAGAGACCCAGAACTCACGGCAACATTAGTACTCTGTGGAAGTGGGGGGCGGGAAAGGGGCAATCAGGCACCTGGGGGCCAGGAGAGGAACCAGGTGTTTGGGTGAGCAGCCCTAGCTTTGTCAGAGATGCAAGAGTGACCAGGGACACAGGGGTCCCCTGCACTTGTTCCACCTCCTAGGCTCACTCTCCAAGCCTCAGAACCCCCCTCCCAGACAGGCGTTTGCTGTTCACCCAGTAAGGACTCCAGACCCCCTAGCTGGCACCCTCGTCCACCATCATGCCCTCCTGGAAAGTTCCCACCTACATGGAGGTGTCTCTGAGCTGTGCCACCCCCTCCCCACACTCCTGAAGCTCAAGTCCCTCGTGGACCCTCTTTCCCAACCCCGGCTCTATTAGTGGCCAGCAAGGTTTTGGGGAAAACCCGCTGGCCAAAACCCACCAGCCCGTCAGGGAAGAAGGGCAGGGTCGCCGTGGTAGAGCTGAGGGTGGTGGCCCCATTAGCCCTTCACCAAAGTGCACAGGGACCCAGGGCCAGGGCCTCTTTCCTTCTCAGCAGGTGGACATGACAAGGAGGGGAACAGGAATGGCGTGTGGGGTGTGTGTGTGTGTGTGTGTGTGTGTAGGGCAGAGCTGTCAGAGGACAGCAAAAGGCTGGGTACTCACTCTTCAGGTGGCTTGTATTGTGAACAGGGCCAACAAGCTGGGACATCTTGGGTAGCCTCTTCCTCCTGGCAGGCTTGGCCATCCTGTGGCCCACCTGCATGGGGGCCAGGAGACCCACCTGGGAAAGGAGGGGGCGGGGAGTGTCAGATAGGACTGCCTCACATCCAGGCCCACAGGCCCAGCTTTCACCTCCCTCCCCACCTGGGGCAAGCATCTGGCACCTGGCTCTGCAGATTCTGGATCCTCAGATGCTGCTTCTCCAGGTGCCGCTGCTGCTGGGCCACCTTCTGGAAGAGGAGCTCGATCCTGCTGTTCTGAGCCTTGAGCTGAGACTGGAGAGAATGTGAAAACCCTGATAAGGACCTGGCCTTCTGCTGCCAGCTTCTCCGTTCACCCGTCGGGCTGTCCTTCCAACTTTCCGTCCTTTGACGCCTGGGCGAGAGAGCTCCTGGGGCCCTGGATGCGCCCCCGCTTCCGCCCACACCCTCCCAGGCTCGTGAGAGAGCAGTAGGGGCGCGGACAGCCACTCCGGATCGCACGTACCTGCAGGTTGCGGAGGGTCTCGGGGGCGGCCTCGCCACGGGAGACTGGACTCAAGGGGCCGTGTGGGGGCGCGGCGGATGCCGCCCGCTCTTCACAGGCGGCCCCGCACGCCCCCAGACGCCGCTCCAGTGCGCCCAACTGCCCCCGGGTGCGCTCCACGTGTTCGCGCAGCCCGTTGCCGAGCTGGAGGAGCCCGTGCGCCAGCACGTTCACCTCGTCCCAGGACGCGAAGCGCGGCGGCGGCTCCGCTGGCTCCGGGCTGCCCTGCGCGCTCAGCAGCCCGGCGGTGGCAGCGCACAGCACCAGGGCTGCTCCGGCCGTCGGCGCACAGCGCATCCTTCCGGTGGGCTAGGCGCGGCGACGCGAGGACTCAGACGCAGCGGCAGGGGGGCGCAAGGCAGGCGCGGGATCTAGAGACGCGGGGACCCTGGCAGGGGCTCTCGCCGGTGCAGAAGCCACAGGGAACAAGGGTCGGATACACGCCTCTAGTTCTCTGTTTGGCGTGTCCCTGCGACGCCCTTTTTATAAGGCAGTTGCCAGAAGGAGCGGGGCAACTTCGAGGGCGGACCGCGGGGCGTGCCGGGGGCGGGGCATGGGGTGGGGTTCTGTGCTCCACTGCCTTGCAGTTAATCTGATGGGTGCGGGGCGCCCTAGAAATGCAGAACTCTGACTCCTCCCCACCTGGCCCTGACGTGGCTTCTCTGCTGACCACAGCCGACGTGACTGTCCGCATTCCGTGATCCTCTTTCCAGCGTCGTAATTCCGAGCCGCCCACCCCGCCGCACACAAATGGGGAAAGGGCACTGGCTTCCGCGAAGGCTGAGCGGGCAGCGGCATTCCGCGTGCCCTCCTCAGGTCCAAGGCTGGGGAGAGGTCGAGAAAGAGGCGTGGGAAGCAGGGGCCTGGTGCGCTGAGTCCCACAGGGCCGGGCGGGGAGCCCAGGATGTTTCCGGGACAGCCTCGCAAGACCAGGCTGCCCCCCACCGCCCCTACTCCACCGGGAGACCTCTCCGGGTTCCCTCGCATCTTCCTCAAAAATTCGTCATGGCACATGTGTCTGTGGATTTATTTTATTTTATTATTTTATTTCGGGGGACGGGGGGGGCGGCATCAACTTGTTGTTCTACTTATTTATGCATTCATTGGTTGCTTTTTGTATGTGCCCTGACCAGGGATAGAGCCAGCAACCTTGGCACATTGGGACGACGCTCTAACCAACTGAGCTACCAAGCCAGGGCAATGTCTGTGGATTCTTCAATGTCCCTCATCCCTCTTCCTCACAACCTAGTGCTCTGGTGGCAGGGTCTGTGTCTGCCCTGTTAAGTCTCCAGCTCAGGGCCTCACTTCCCACTGACACGCTCTACCTCAAGGTCTGCAGTGCCTGAGTCTTGCCTGTATCAAAGCAGGAACCTCCTAACAGAAACGGGATACCCGGAAGGAAGGCCAACCCATCCATCCATCCATCCATCCATCCATTGGGCAGTCGTCTGCTCTCCTATATGGAGTTCCCAGGTTGGTGGAGAAACCCCAACATGCTGAGGCTGGGGTATGGGCAAAGTTGAGACAAAGAAAGAACTGAGTGCAGCTGCGGGGCTGGACCAGGTCTATTCCACAAAGGTAGGCATTTATTCAACAAACTTTCACCGAAGTCCTCCCCCTATGCCCTCTCAGGAGAGAAAGGCTGGCACAGAAAAATCTGCCTGCCAGGAAGAACTCGGAGCAGGTTGGTTCCAAGCTCTGGCAAAAAGAACAGAGTTGACTCAGCAGGGCTCAGAGCCAGCTCAGCGTCTGGAATGAAACTAAGTGCCCCGGGTCGGCATGCAGGTCACCACTCATACATGTGGCCGGGCCAGCTGCCAGGACTGCAGATCCTGGCAGCAGTGACAGGCAGATGGGAAGGACAGGCAGGAAACCCCCGTGAGGAGGAGACCCGGACCGTAGCCATCCGTCCGAGAGCCAGCCTGTCCACCCCGAAGCCCATGGCCTCCATCTAGCGGGCAACATTGCTATCCCAGAGTGTCTTCTTCCCTCCCTGGCTTCCTGCGCTGAGATAATTGATCATTTGCTTTCCAAACCGGACGACCTCCTTATGACCCATTTCTCAGGGGCTTCTTCCTTGGTACCATGTTTCAGAGGTCACAAAATATGAAAGGCTCTCTCTTAGAGGCATGGGCCACGGACAAACTACACAAGAATTTCTCTTTGCTCTGTCTGGTGTGGCTCAGTGGATTGGGCGCCTGCCTGCGGACCAACAGGTTGCTGGATTCCCAGTCCTGGCACATGCCTGGGTTGCACCAGGTCTCCAGTAGGGGGCGCGTGAGGAGCAGCCACACATCGATATATCTCACGCTCTCCCTCCCTTCCCCTCTCTCTAAAAATAAATAAGATCTTACAAAAAAATTCCCCAGGGGCCTGGCTCTTGATTGCATCCTAAAATGTGCTCTGTGGGATGTGTCCTATGCCCCACCACTGGTTGCCCTGATCAATTGTTTTTTTAGCACACTAGTTACTGTCCTGGGGCCATAATGGTGGATGAGACCCCTCAGCCCCTGCATAGGCTTCTCTGGTCAAGGTAAATGTCATAGAAAAATGACATGTGGGCTGGAATTTCTCATCAGAAAGGGAAGTAGTGAAATTGACTTTTTTTTTTTTTTTTTTTTTTTGCTTGTCTGTGGGCAGCAGAATGAAGTCCCTGCCTTTGGGAATGTTCCGTCTGGCGCAGGACACGGACTCATGAGCAGTGTCTTTCCATCTGTATCTCCCAGACTTAGGTTACTGGGGACCCCTCAGTCCCTCTTTACTAATCTCTAATCCTTGGGGCTTCTGGTGGATGGTACAGGAAGAGCTGATCTGTAAGTGGAGGGACTGCTTATAATAAAAATAGTGGTGCCCTGACAGGGTGTCCCGCAAAGCAAAAGCTCACCAGCTCAATTCCAGGTCAGGGCACATGACTGGGTTGCTGGTTTCGCCCCTTCAGTCGGGGTGCGTATACAAGAGGCAACCAATCAGTGTTTCTCTCTCACATCGATGTTTCTACCTCTCTCTCTTTCTTCCTCCTTTCCCCTCTCTCTAAAAAATAAATAAATTTTAAAAAGTAGCAGCAAACACCAATTGTGTACTAAATATATCCCAGGTATTGTTCTAAAGTGATTCTGTATTCACTTAATTCTAATAAGAATTCCAGATTAAGAAGGTAATTATTCCTTTTTATAGATGACAACACAGCATAAGAGAGGTTATACATACTTATCCAAGTTCTCACAGTTACCTGGACAGAGCTAGGATTTGAAACCAGGCTGGCTAACTCAGAGTTCTGTTCTTAGCAGCCATAATATGCTACTTTTATTCAAAGTAGCCTAGTAAGTCTTGCTTTCTGATATTCATGCCCTTGTGTATTTCCCCTCTATCATATAATCAAGAGCATACTGTTAAAATGATAGAGTGTGTGACTTCTGAGGTTAGGTCATAAAACACTTGTGGCTCTTGCCTCGTTCCTGATTGGCTCACATGGTCCCGGAGAAGCCAGCTGCCATGCTGTGAGGACACTCAAGCAGCCCTTTGCAGAGATCCGCATGGTGAGGAACTGAGGTCCACACTCAACAGCCAGCATCAGCATGTCAGCCGTGCAAGAGAGCTCTCTTGAAAGCACGTCCTCCACTCCCAGCTTTCAGGTGCACAGCCTCAGCTGGCGTGTTATTAGCCTTGTGAGACCCCATGCCACAACCACCCAGCTAAGCCACTCCCAAAGTCTGGAACCATTAAAACTATGAAACAATAAATGTGTGTTGTTATTCTAAGCCACTTGCAATGCAGCTAACACAATAGATAGCTAATATAATAGCCAACACTTCAGTAGTCTCACCGTGTACCTGGCACTATTTTGAGTATTTTTATTTACATGCATTCACTTACCATACCCTATAATGTTGGGAGAGTGTTGTTTTAAGCTCCATTTTAAAGAAGAGAGGAAACTGAGGCCTAGAGAGATCCCATGGTTTCAGAGCGGAGGTGTGAGGGCATTAGCTCCCCGGGAAGACCAGGACTCCTGTTGGCCTGCCCCAGTCATGGTCCACTTTGAGTTCTGCCAGGGGCTCACAATGAATGCAGCTAATGCTGCTCCCGTGAGTCACAATCCTGTCACCCGGTCAAATTTGCAGAGAAACTACACCCCCTCTGGCATCCCTTCTCTTGCACACATACATAATATATATGCACATATATAATACTTCTGCACCTATGTGTGATACACACATATATAAGAGAGAGAGAAAGGTAATACACACGTATTATTTTTTATGAACCATATGCTGCAGGCATGATGTATGACTTTGCCTTTTCCTAAGAACAAGGACATTCCCTTACATAACCACAGCACAGGGCTGGGCAACAGGAAACTCAACCCTGACGTCACACAGTTCTCTAATCTGCAGTCCATATTCCAGTTCCTTCAGCTGTGCCCCTCAGGCCCTTCCCACCTGCGCCTCGTGTTGCCTTGCACTGTTGTATCTCCCATAACCTGGAACTGTTCCATGCTCCTCCTCTGTTCTTCACAGCCTCAGCATCTTTGAAGGGTACACACCAGATATCTGTAGAACGCGTCTCCCTTGGCATTGCCTGATGTTTTCTTCCAATTGTGCATGTTTGGCAGTGCTGCTGAGTCCTTCTCCGGCCATGACATCAGGAGGCACGTGACATCAGCCTGCCCCTCACTAACACCATTAACTGTGATGTTTAAATTTTATTTTTTATTGTAGTATAACTGATATATAACATTATATTAGTGGCAGATGTACAACATAATGCTCAATACTTGTGTGTGTGTGTGTGTGTGTGTGTATGTGCGTATTTTTTATCTTCGAAGACATGCTCATTGGTTTTAGAGAGAGGAGAAGGGAGGGAGAAAGCAAGGAGGAGAAACATCAATGTGAGAGAGAGACAGCCATCGGTTGCCTGCCCTGTGTGCCCTGACCGGGACCAGACCCCCAACCTAGGCATGTGCTCTGACCAGGAATCAAACCTGAGACCTTTCGGTTTACAGAACGATACCCCAACCTACTGAGCCACACCAGCTGGGGCAATGCTTGTATATATTATAAAACGGTCACCACAATAAGTTGAGTTAACATCCATCACCTCACATAATCACAATGTTTTTTCTTGTGATGAGAACTTTTAAGATCTATTCTTTTAGTAAATACTTCAAATAAGCATTGAAGTATAATTATATAAACATATGTATATAATCACCTTTACGTTACATCCTCATGACTTATTTATTTTGTAACTGGAAATTGCCACCTTTTGACCTAATTGTGATTCTTTTATCCACTCGGCATGAATACTGGGTGATGAGTGCTATCACAGGGAAGCACAGGAGCTGGAAGAGCCCAGACAAGGGACCAAAGCCATCAGGAAAGGCTTCTGGGGGCAGGAGCCCTGAGGCTGAGGCCAAAATTATCCAAAGAGGGCAAGGAATGAGTGACCCGCTTGGGG